TTTATTGACGAATCAAGTTTGATATGATAGGTTTCAAATACAAAATTAAATCATTTTACTTTGTAATCTAATAATTTTTTTACTCTATTTGTGTGTGCTACTACTAGACTATAAGATTCTAAATTTGTTGGTAACATGTTGCTATATAAATCATTTCTAAAAAAAATGATTGTTAGTTTCTCCTGAATTAATAATGGATTTTTACAATTATAATCAAATTTTATTATACGCTCAATTGAGTAAATCTTTTTAACAACTTTGTTTTGATTGGTTCATTTAGTTAAAGTAAATCATTAAAATTAATTAAGTTCTGAATTTTCAATTGCAGAATCTTTTTAAACACCAAAAGTTATTGGAAATGATTACTATTACTTCTATTTAAGTTATCTATTATGATAAGAATGCAAAAAAATATTGAGCTATACTGATAAATTTACTATACATAGTAATTATAAAACTTTCTGACTGCATATTAATCTTAACGATACAATTTTTTTTATTCTCATAAAATTTTCTATTTAATGATGTCAATTTCAAACTTGCCAATTGAGCTACAAGTTATTGTAATAAATTGATTTTCATGTTATAAACTTTCACAAAAATCAACTTTAAAGGATTAAAAAAATGATTAAATATGTCATTTTCCTTATTTTTAACATATTAATAATCAAAATTAGTATTAATTTAAAACAATTGTTTTTTGTTTTTAATTAAATTTTTTTTATATGCAAATACTTTTTTTTTAATAATAAGTAATAATATTAAAACTTAGAAGTGATAGAAAAAGTCTATTTGCACATTTGAAAACATCGCGAAAAGTTGATTTAGAAAAGTATATTTTTGTTTCTAATGAAAGTTCCTTATAGTCTAGTGTATTTATTCATAAGTAACAAAATTTTTTTATTAAAAAGTATTGCATCAAACCCTTTAAATTTTTATACGCGTTAAAAATATATGAATAAACAACTCCTTTTTATTTTTATAATATCTCCGTAAAAATTAGAATATTATATATTTGAATATCAATTTCATACTAAATTTAATTACTATAATTATTATGTATTCATTATATTATAATTATAAATCGGGATAAAATTAAGGGAATAAGAGTTATGGTTGCTTTTGAAATAATCTACGAATCTCTTAAAATTAAACACTATCTACAGATTTGCATCGAAGCGATTCTAATGAAAGTGGTTTGGATTTTAATCACTATCAGATATCATCTATACTTGTACCAACTATGCCACGTCCATACTGTGCCCCGACCCCACTGTGCTACCGTTTTTTTTATTAAGCTTATCTAGAAAAAAATGTTTGATAAATTTACAATCATTAGTAATATTTAACAAATATTTTTAATAAATAAAATTATCTAAATGTTTGTTATTATTCTATTGCATTTAAAAAAAATAAATCTAAGTTATTTATTGTTTTCAAAATAAAAATAATGGTACAAAATTTTAGATTTATTAACCAAGGGCTCAAATTTTTGGCTATTAACTGACTTAATCATATCTTATTGAAATATAAATTTTACCCTCCCTCACATTTGTAAAAAGCATAGACTTTATTATATAAATTTGTTACATTTTGGGTCAATACAAATTTATTGAAGTCGATAAAAATAATTTTCTACAGATTACAACTTAACTTTTAAAAGTGTTTCGGATAGTCTGACACTTTTATATATATCTTAAATTAAAGCTAATGTAATATACTTTATAATGGAAAAAAAAAATTTCGGACTTTATTTTGTCTTTACGTTGAAAATAGCTACCGTATGCTATTTTTATGTGAAAATTCTCGATTTTATATTTTACATTTTTAATTTAATAATGCTATAACTTATTGTAAGTTATTAAAGGTATATGGATCAATACGATTTTTTTATGAGAAATAATATTTATATCCCTCTTTTATTCGACATACTTTATCTTAATGAGGATATAAAAAAGAAAATACCAGATCATGTAACTTTTCCATCAATTTTTTAAAATTAAACACTATCTAAAGATTTGCATCGAAGGGTTTTTTATGATAGTGATTTTAATCACTGTCAGATATCATTATACTTGACCCAACTATACCACGTCACCATTGTGCCACTACCCCCTCCGTGTTGGGTTTTCTATATTAACTTTGATGTACATTTTCACCATGAACACAAAATAATATCCGAAATTTTTTTTCTATAATAAAGTATATTACATAAGCTTTAATTTAAGATGTATATAATAATGTCAGTATTTTCGGAACACTTTGAAAAATTAAGTTGATTGAATTCTACTTTCTATATGCATTTTTAAGTTTTGAACCTCCCCTGTATTAAGGAAAGTGGTCCGATTTAATAAAAAAGTATGTCGAAAAAAATATGTATATAAATACTACTTCTCATGAAAAAATTATATTGATCCATACATTTTAAAAAGTTATACCATTTTAAAATTAAAAATTTTAAATATAAAATCGAGAATTTTAACACAAAAATAGCATACCATGAAGATAAAATAAAGTCTGAAATTTTTTTTTTCATATTAAATTATATTACATAAGCTATAATTTGAAGTATATATAAAAGTGTCAGCATTTCCAGAACACTTTCAAAAGTTAATTTTTTGTAAAAAAGTTATCACTTTAAATCTCTCCTCTGAAAAATGTTAAAACGTTTCAACAATTAATTAAAAAATCGACCAAGTCCCGGAGAGTGAGATCTTGAGTAGAGTGTCGTAGATTTTGTATATTTTAAAATCGTCAAAAGAACCGGTTTTGATGGGGAAAAATGGCTTTTTATAGTGTGAAGGGGGTAGCCCAGCGATCTCTACCGTGATCCTGGAAGCTGAGGCTTTGTATTTTAATTGGTTAATTAAAATGGGGTCCCTGCGTGTAGGCGTTACTTAATAATTTCTACAAGAGGGAGATTTTATCGTATAATTAAAGGGTTATTTTGTATCTTAAATAAGAGAACCCTGTTTTGGTGATCATTTATAATCATAATATGTGATATACATGTATAAATGATAACATCATATTATATGTTAATATTATATGTAATAATATAATATTACAAAAGGACGCAGTATTTCCGGAACATTTTCAAAAATTAAATTGAAAAAGTTAGATTTTGTAAAAAAGTTACTATTTTCAATCCTCCCCAGTTAGCAAGTTAAGTGTTAAATTTTCAAAAAAATGATATCAAATTAAAAGGAAATATCTAAGGTTTTACTATAAAAAAAAAAAGACAAAATTTACCGATTTTTAAATTTATAATTTTTTTGGATATCTCCCCCATTTGCGGGGAACGAGGGAAAATTTTTTCAATTTTTAAGGGTAATGTCTTCAACTAGATACGATTTGTGATCTTTTGACGTATTGTTGAAAGAAATCGGTCCAGTGAGAGCTGAGAAAAAGTGGCAACACATAAAAAAAAAAATAAATAAATAAACACATCATGGTAAAATTAATACCTTCTCAGCTTTGCATCGAAGCTAAAATGTGCAACCATCGATAGACAATTTGACGAGGATTTCCTAAAATGTATATATTTTTCTTTTTTCTTTTATATTTTTTTAAACCATATTGAAGCTACAATAACTGGAATTCTTTATTTATGAAACTTGTTCAAAAATCTATGTATAGTAAAAAAATAATTCACTCAAAAATAAAGAAAATGGTAAAGTGAGAAGAAATTAAAAATGTATTTTGGAAATCTAATATTTCTACTGTATTGACGACGATATAAAAAGCTTATTTTAATTTTTGACATATAAATATAACCTTACTATAAAAATTGTATATTTATGGAATTCTATATTACTAACAACCTCAAGTTTTACGAAGCATAGTGAGTGATTTTTGTAATATATACATATATGTATACACAGCATATTGTGCACCTGCATATAAAATTGAATCATAGGTTCGTGCAAAATCGCCCTCAAAATCACTATGGCGAGCAAAAATCAATATATGTGCAAAGGCGTAAAGCATTTGAGTAAATGTATTTGAATAAAAGTATTCAAATACTTTCATTGGTATTGAATAGTATTTTTAAATACATTTAATAAAAAGTATCTGAGTAGTATTTTAAATACAATTATTTAGTATTTAATACTGTTTAATATTCAGTACTATTAATATACTTTTTTTTTTTAATTTGCTAACCGTAACACAGCAAGCAAATTAAACTCAGTCAAAATGAAAATTGAGAATAATTTTCTGTTATTTTATATGTTACATTATAGTATAACATAATTATTGTGCTTATCTAAATGCTATTATGTATACATCTATTTTTAATACATCAGTTGAACCTACAATAGCCTATTGCAGGTTCAAATGATTTACTCTATTGTCAATAAGACATACTTTACAGGTTTTTACACGTGTACTAATATTTATTTTTTTCACTGATTAGTCTCCAATAATTAATTTTATTTACCTTTAACAAAAAAAAATATCGAAAATAATAAATGAGTTCTCTTAATTTAAGAGTACTCAATATTTGACTCAAATTACCCTCTTGGTAATTATTTAGGTGGAACCTTTTGCTCTTAGTTAAAATAAAAACATTATTATTATTTTTTAATTGTATTCTTAGTATTTGAAATACTTTTGCAAAGTAATTGAGTATTACTCAAATATTTTTGTATGAAAAGTATTCAAATAGTATTTTAAATACATTTTTTTTTAAATATTTGAATATTATTTAAAATACTTTTTAAAAGTATTTTTTACAACTATGAATATGTGATATCATCGTGAATGTACAAGAACAAAGAACTGTCTCTAACCGTACACACAAAAATGTACCTAAACAGGTAACATATACAAATAAACTAATGTCGTGTAGGTGGCGTACAAGTAAACTACCATTGTAAAAATTACTAAACAAGCGATCAGGCCGTTTTAAAAGGAACATTTGTTCACTACTGGATTTATCTACCTTAATATTATCTACTATGTTATCAACTGTAATGATATTTGTTATCACTGATGTTATCAAACAATTTTTTGGTAAAAATATTAATGATCGGTAGAATTAAAACATTTTAAGTTTCATCATTTTATTAAATTCTGACTAATCGGAACCTATTAATTCGTAAAATTTATTTCACCTACGACTATATCTGAAGTTATGGAATAATATAATTAATAATTTCAATAATTTAGAAGCAATTATGTTAACTCCCGAAGAAAGAATTAAAGAGCTGTCGTCATTTAGTTCAAAAATTGATTTGAATCCCAATATTGCTGCTAAAAAGTATGTAATATTGCAAGACTAAAATTAAAAGTAATTACTTTTAATTTTACTTATTTTTGTTATTGATAGATATTATCGATCTGGTCAAGAAATGATCCGAATGGCTGATGTTTATTTGAAAGAAAAAAACTTGGAACAGGCATACATTCTTTACATGAAATTCATGATGTAAGTTTCAATAATAAATAAAAATAATTTTCATAAATTTTGTAAAAAACAAACAAATGAAATTTTAAACTAAAAAATAAAATAAGTAATTAATTTAGAAGCATTGTTATCTTAATAAACTAAATATTTTTAAATTTAAACATTGCTGGTAATTTATTTTAAAGTGTTGTATTTAAGCTGATTAAGCTATAATATATTAGTAAAAATTTACTCAAATGCTTTAGTATTTATGTTAGGAAAGCAATATATCAACTAATAGAACACCTAAACTTATTTTAGCAAAAAAAAGAAAAAAACCTATAAAAACAAATTTTTTTGACCTCTTAATTTTAATTATATGTCAAAATAATATTAACATATATTAAAATATAATATGGGTATATTTGGTTAATATGAGATGGACCTTAAAGACACTTAATGGTTAATAAATCAAAAATTATATATTGCTATAAAGTTAAAACATTTTGTATATTATTTTTATTTTGTGAGGAATTGACTAGTTTATATTAAGTAAATAGTTATAAATGAGATAACATTTATTTTTAACTATTTACATCAAATACTTATATTATTCATACTTATAGATTATTCCTAGAGACAATTCCAGAACACCCAGATTTCAAAAATGTACCAATCGATGATCGTAATTTAATAAATCAATTACTTCGAGAAGTACTTCCTAAAGCAGAAAATTTAAAAAATAAATTAAGGACACAATATAGCAAAGAATATGAATTGTTTATGCAGCATAAAGTAAATAAAAGTTAATAAATAAATTTTCTAAAGAGTAGTGTGGTAAAATTTATAAAATAACTTTGTTAATAAAATATTGTTTTTACAGAATTATATGTTTTTGTTAAAAAATGTGCATTTGATTGAGGATATTTATTTATGATTCAAAAATTATTTATCTGTATAGGATCATTTATGATCATATTGTGTCCATTTAAATCTAATTTTCAACTCATTTTTAATTTTCAAAAACACATATGTATTATTTATGTAATAACCTTAGTTTCAGTCAGTGTTAAATCTAGTTATAATTTAAAAGATCTCCCAACCCATTAAAGGTGACAATGATAGAACAATTTTTGATATTTATTGCAATGTTAAGTGAAATATTGGATTATAATTTTTTGAGATATAAGCTCAAAGGATAAGTTCCTTATAGAATACTATACTGTGTTACCCTCTGCCATAAATTCCAATATTAATTTATACGAAAGTGTATTGGGATCGGAATCATGAGTGTGCAGTAGTTTACTGGTAGGGTTTTTCTTTACTACACCTCAGGTTCTTATTCTGTACCTTGTGTGTTATTTATCTATTTCAAAAATATTTTTTAATAAGCATATATTTTATTTTATGCAAATATTTTTTTATTTTTATTTTTTTTGTCAACATAATGTATTAGGACATTTTTCTTTTTTTGCCATGATGTTTCCTCCCTGAAAATTAAATTATCTTTTTACAAATTCCTAATTAATTTTTAGGAATTACAAAGTATAAAAGCAAATCAAGAAAAAGAAGCATTAGAAAATAAAAAAAATGCCTTCGAAAATAACATATTACCTATAAGTACTAAAAAAATAATTAGCGAACAATGTTTGAATTTTACATCAGAAAATATAAAACCTCCAACATTTTTTGATACAACATTAAAAAATGAACCATCAAGGTTTGTGAAAGTATTATTTTATTAGACATTTGTCAGTGTCAATTTCTCCAAATTTAATTAAAATTATACTTGATAACATGAAACTTAACAAATTGTTCTTTATAAAGTTTATAAACATTTGTATATTATTATACTAAATGATTGCTTAACTACGACTTATGCAATATCTTTAAAAGTATAAAATATATGATTTTTTCTTTTCAGAATATAATTGTAATATACATTCTATAATATTAAAAAAAAAATAGTCCTTTACTCTTCCTTCCCTCATTAAATCATATCAACTTAAGTTTTTTATATGGATGTATATATGTTTAACTTGCTTATAAATAAAAAAATTATCTAACTAATAAAAAGATTAATCAATTTGAGTATTTTAAAAGATTATAACATTTTTATACCATGTGAGAGGAATAGTCCTATTTTCGTAATTGCATAGATATAAAAATAAACAGACTGCTCTTCATGCCCAGTCATTATAATAAAGTTTTTAATAACTTCTTAAATACTGGCTCAAAAGTCAAACCATTTGTTTTTGAATATTATAGAATATACAATATTATAAAAATCTGAAAAGATATAATTGTTAAATATTTTTAAAGATATTATGTGAGTAATAGTTAAAAAATCCCATGAAAAAATGTAATTTATTGATTAATAAAACATTTAATTTCTTTATAATCAAAGTTACTCTTAAATTATATCTTTGAAATTGATACTAAATTTTTATAGTTTAATTTAAGTCAACATTTTACATAATTATAGTATTAGTTTATTTTATAAATTAAATACAGGATGTGACTTATAATTATATGCCTACTATTACATGATTATAAGTTTTTAATTATTTGAAGTAACATTGTTATTTATTAAAGATTACCTATCTAAAAAAAGTTTTTATTTTAATTTCTGTTCTTTATTTTGTATAACAATTTTTTAATTTGTACACATTTTATTATTTAGGCAAAGCAATTTATTATTAGAATTGAATGCCAAACCAAATGAAATACCAAGCTCATCTGGTTATATGTATTCACCGATCAATATTTCTGAGTATGTTATGAATGTTTACATTAATTAAAATTTATTTAATAAAAAAATAATAATAAAGTTCTTTAAAAATGAACTTATATATAATGATAAGTTAGTAATTTAAATTTCTTATATTTTTAGAAATAAACCAGTTGTTGATAGAAGTACTAAACCAAGCTTAATAAAAAGTACTTATAATCTACGAACAGTAATAGTACCAGGAAATTTAATAGAACGATTTTTAGAACATGCTAATAGTAATACTATGAAAAATTTAGAAACATGTGGAATACTTGCTGGAAAATTGGTAAAAATATATATATTTTTAAACTGTAAAGATCTAAACACTAAAATGACATTAACAGTAAAATTAAGTCATTTTATGAAATCTTTTTTTTAAAACTCCCGACTATTTGAAAAAAAAAAAAATCATCAACTTTTTTGAATTAGTATCAGACACATAAACTTGACTTATTATAACATGTATATATATATTATAAAATTTAACTGGTTTTTCCTTAATTTTAAGTAGGACTGGCCATTATTTAATTTGATATATGCGATATTAGATTTAATAGTATTGGGTTTTTTTTTTATATCCGATATTTATACAAATATTATAAAAAGTTATATTAAAATCTAATAATCAAGATGAAATTATTATCAATCTTACAAATAACTGAATATTATCACAAACTGAGATATCTAAGTTTTCATGATGACATGAATATATCTGTAAATAATCTAAATTGTCTATTATTTATTAAAACTTTATAAAATTGTTATGTTATTATAAAATGGTATTATCTTTTTTTTCTTATTTTTTATTCCTTTATTTTTTTTTCAACTTATTAAATACATTTTGTCGTTATATTTAATAAATGGATAAAATAGATTTTTTTATTTTTACTTTTATACAAACATTTTCAGATGAATTATTAAGTTTTTCTTTAATTTTAAATACCATCCATCAGTAGAAAATTTTCTTAACTGTTTGGAAACATGAACGTGTATAGTAGGCTGTAAGGACTAAAAATACATTTAATGATATATTCTTAAGTTCTTGTTTAATTATTGTACCGAGAAATGGTATATTTTTTTTAAATTTTATTTATTAAAATATTTAATAATTGATTATCGGTTTAATATTGAAGTATATATTGGATTATCGTATTTCAGAAAAAATTTAAATCTGTGCATAATATATAAATTAATAATCATATATAAGTAATTAGTTAATTATTTAATAGATAAAAAGCCCTAATATTAACATATATCCCATTGGATCAAAATAAAAAACATATACTTGATGTTTAATTTTCAATTTTAATGGCTGAAGATATGTGCTGGTATTCTTATTCCTAAACATTTCTCATTTGCACTCCTCAAGTGTTGATATAAAAATTTTAATTAATGTTTCAATATTGTTATTGACAAGTTATTTCCTATACTGAATTATTTTGTAATTAATAAGACTCATTACAAAAAATAAAATTGATATTTTATAAGACTTAAAGGATAAATATAAAAAATAACTCATGATTGATAAATTTAGAGAAATATGAAACTAAAAGAAACCAAATAAATATTCTAGATATTATGTTTATTTTTTTGTTATTTAAGTGGTTCATCATAATATAATAATTCTGTTTATACAAATTAAGATTTAGTAAATTTTTTAATGTTAACTAAGCTTAATACTTAAATCATTTTTAGAGTTCAAATAGTTTAAATATAACTCATTTAATGATTCCAAAACAAAGTGGTACTTCTGATTCGTGTACAACAATGAATGAAGAGGATATTTTTGAATTTCAAGATAAAAATGATTTAATTACTTTAGGATGGATTCATGTAAGTTAGAGATTATATATATAAATGTTTTTTTTATTGGTTGGGATTCGTACTAAATGTACTAAATGTACTAAATGTCTGAGGGCCAACAAACTATTATAAAAATATATACAATGTAAAATTCTCTAAGATTAGAACTCATTTTTTTTATAACTTCTATAAAGAATGATATTAATTTGTAATTTTTTTTTATCTTACATTATTAGACTCATCCGTCCCAAACATCTTTTATGTCTAGCGTAGACTTACATACTCACTACTCTTATCAATTAATGATGCCAGAAGCTCTTGCTATTGTATGTGCACCAAAGTATAACAAGTAATATCATTTCTCTATCAAAAAAAAAAAAATGTTTAACATTTTTTATTAAATATTTTTGTTTTATAGGAACAATTTCTTTTTTTTAACACCGTATCATGGTCTTCAAGTTATAGCAAACTGCAAAAATGTTGAAGGTTTTCATACTCATAACACAGATGGTGATATATATGCTGTAAGACTCAATATTTTACTCCTTCAAAATTGTATTAAAGAATTTTTTATTATTATTATTTATTTTTTTTTTTTAGATTGCTGAACATTATACACTAAATAATAGTTTACATGTCAATGTGGTAGACTTCAGATAAAAATTAAATTTTTAGTCTGTGTCAGTGCAATTTTTTCTAAAATTATTCATATGTGAATAAATGTTTGTTTAATATAATTTTAAAAATTAATGTATATCATGTAAATCATGTAATCTAATGTTTATATTAGTATTAATTATTTATAATTCTTTAATTGTATAATTTATTTTAAAATTATATGCAATAAATGTTCAATGTTAATTTTATATTTATTTTATTAAAATGAGGGAAGAGGTTTCATCCTTTATTCTGTTTATAACTTAAATTTCATACCTCAGATATAGATTTTGTGTCAATTATTTTAAATTCAATGACATTCTGATTACAGATTTTATAAAAAAATTATTAGTGTAAATGTTAATAAAAAAAAAAATGTTCATTAATTTTTCTAATGAAAATGTTTCTAAAAAAACAAGTATAATTATTTTATTCAAGATTGTGATTTGATTTTATTATTGTGCAACATGTATATTACAATATAAACTATATACATATATAAAAATAGAATAAATAAGCTAAAAATAGTATTAATTTGCAAAGTGTGTATACTCATATTAACAATACCAGTCAAAATATTTGCAAATAAAAAAAAAAATAACAAATTTTCATTTACACTATCAATAATTAAGGAAAACCCTGAAAACTTTTTATTAAATCTATGCATCATAACAGTAATAAAATTTTCAATTAAAATTGACATAAATAATAGGTAAGATGACACTGATAACATCCAAAAAACATAGCCAGCATTTACTAATCTTCTAGAAATACCAGTTAGGTTGTCAAAACTTACAGCTACTAAGAAAAAAAAAATTGAAGTAAAAAAATTTTCTATTAAGAGAAACAAATTGTTTATCAAGGAACTTTTTGGTTTAAAATATGACATATGACATTTAAGAGACAAAGTGTATAAAAATATTGCTTCATAACCAATAATAGATATAATACCTTCTCGATTTGCAGAAAAAAATGTATCTCTTGAAGAATCACTCATTATCCAATCACTTAGACCAAAGTTTAAAGCTATTTCATATAAAAGAATCATTGTTGTTGCTAAAATAGGAGTATAACATGTACTTATAAATGGAATAATAAATAAATTAATGATTTTGAGACAGGCTAAGGTAATAAAAAAATTCCAATGAACACCATACTCAAAAACATAATGATTATAATTGGTTTTCTTAATAAAATAAACACGTCCAATACCTAATACGAGTAATGGTAATACTTGTTTAACAACTTTGATTGACTGTTTAAAAAAATTTTGTACTTTAGGAGTTTTAAATAACAGTGCATTAGAACAAACATATAGTCCAACCCCAATATCCATTATGCTATGTCCATATTTTTCAGTTTTAGCATATTTTCGTGGAAATACGTTGAAATCAACAGCCAAAATACAAAATACTGTGTATGTATTTAAAATAAATCTATACACACTCATGTATGGATTTTTTTTTATTCTTATACTACCTAGTATTAAACATTTTCTGTTTAGTAAAATAAAAAATAAAGAAATAACAGCAACTAAAAAATAAATTATAAATTGAGCCACAACAAATTCAGACAAGATTGTGAGGTTCAGCACAGTAGGTAAAATTAAAAATATGAACTCTAAAACAAATTTCCAGATTCTGGGTACACTTAGCTGTTCTGAGTAATTAGTAATTATTGAGATCCACGCAAAAATGATAATGTGAACTGGTAATGAAAATAATGACATATATATTTCTAGCAATGGTGAACCTTTTTGGCTTGATATTGCTTTGTTATGAAGGACTTTATATTCAACATCCATACTCCTGAAAAAAAAATTTACTTAAAAATATACATATAATATATAAAGACAATGTCAAATTTACTTTAAAAATAAAATAAAAATGTTTATGTTATTTAATACAGTTCGGATTAAATTGGGAATCTAAAAACTAGATGTAATCATTTTTGTAATTAGAAAAACAATATTGTTGAAATCAATTTTGAGGACATAGTTTAAATAATGTAAATTGTTTTTTTGCGAATTCACTACAAATTTTAATAGGAAAAATAATTTTCAAAGTCAACATCACTTATTAGAGAAATTTCGAATTCTAATAGTTCAGTTAATAGAACTGAACTGTTAAAATAATTACACAGATTAGGTAAACCTTACCTTATCTGTGATATTACTTTGAAAAATATCGGAACACGAAAAAAGCCATCTGACAAATATTATTTTATCATTAATTTGTATATTTACAAGGTTATTATAAGAAAGCTGATTATTTTCTTAATGTGATAATAATACGGAAGTTAAATACGAGTAAATCACTATATTTGTAAAAGTAGTGAAGCGTGAAAAGATGACTGAATTATGAGAATATTTTTGTGAAATATAATGTTATACAATTGACTTATTATTTTTATTAAAATTAAAGAAAAATGTCTTGGCTTAAAGAATTAGCTGGTAGAGCAGAACATTACCTTGATAAAATTGACCAAAATACTGCTGTAGTTTTGCAAAACCAAAAAGATAAACTTGTGAAAGAAGTTTTCAAGTAAGTATCATTACTATATTAATAAATAATTGTTTTATAAATAACAATTCAGACACTCAGTGCAACAATCAGTAAAGTTTAATTTTAGAATTTTTTTGGAATGATTTATTTAAAAAATGTCATGAATAGTAACGGTAAAAAGTTATTTCTACATTAAATACCTCAAATCATCTAACTATAAAACTAAAATACATTGGAAATTATACTATCCTAAACTAGTAAAAATGATCTACTGAACAAATTGAACTTACCTGATTATTACTCTTAGCCCTTTAATTTAACCTAACTCTAAAATAACAAAGTTTTAATAGTTAATGTTAAATTATTATGGTATTCAAAGATATTTTTTTACAATATACTGAATTAAAAAAAAATGTAAACTGTTTGTCTTTTTAAAGAGTTTCACCAAATGAAGAAAATATTACAGTTGATATTGATACCAAACCATCTTCATCCATTCCAAGTTCACCTAACTCTAAATCTTCATTAAAAAAATCTAAGCAAGATGCTAGAATATCAGATGAACATCTTCTGGAGTATTTAAATGGCCCAGATGAAACTTTACAAACTCAGGTTAGTTGAATCTCATGATTTAAATAAGCTTTAAAGACATTATAAGAAAATTAATAGTGATAATATTTATATTTAGTATGAAGGCTATTCGACAGGAAATTTATCCATTGAATCAAGATCCATACAATTAGCAGAAGAAAATATGATATTAAAAAATGAAATTAAAACTTTAAATAATGAAATTTCTTTATTTCAATACAAACTGAAATCTACTGATAAAGGTATGACAATTATACAGTTTTTTATTTACAAATAATAATTCAATTATTAGATAGAGAAACAAAAAGAGATAATAAGTATAGTTTCATAAATTATTCTATAGTTCTGTTGCTTTTAAGAAGTTCATCTTTGAAATGATATAAAATGATCTCTATACATTTCATAGATTTATGTTATACTGTAATTCATATGGTATCCATGGGTTAAATGTGTATGATTAATATTTAGTCATAAGTATTTTGTAAATAGAAAAATAGTTAAAATATAATAGAACAAAATTAGCAGATTAGGTATGCTATATAATTTGGTAAGGAAATAACATTATGTTTCAGTTAGGGTTCTGGGGTTTCATTCCGTTCTACATATTGATGTAAGTTTTCTTATTCCTTCTAACATAATCAGTAACTATAAAAGATGACCTCGATATAAATTTGTATAATAATAATGAAATTTTGAATTTTACTTACTTATTTTTTGATAATTAAAATAACATATATGTCATATAATCATTTAATATTTTTTGTTTTTAATTAAAATTTAGTCTTATGTTGTTTATATAAATATATATATTTAATTTTGTATTGTTGATGTGAACACATACTGAATATTAATTGTTTATATCTTTAATCAATATAGATTTAAATCAAATTGCTACTGAATTAGAAATTAATAAAAGGCATTCAGTGAATCTAGAAAAAGAATTAGAAGAAGCACAAATCCAGTTGAAAAATGTTCAAGATGTCATGATTAGATTAAAAAAAAAATCTGATTCAACTCGACAACAAGTAAATAATGATTATGAAAATAGTAGCTCTGGAAATAGTTTACTTGAAGAAAATGAAATCCTTAAATTAGAAATTTCAAAATTAAAAAAAAAGTAAACTTATATCTGTTATTAATATAAAATACAATTTTAATTTTTAATTTTATTTTTAGAATTGAAATAGATGAATTTAAAAAAAATGAACTTGAATCAGAAAAATTAAATTTAGAAACAAAATTAAATGATGTCCAATTCAAAAATAATTTCTCTACTCAAAATGAACTTCAATATTTGAATTTAATTACCACAGATTGTGATGCATTAATAGCTAACTCAAGATCTGATTTAAATAATATTTCAAAAAATATTAAAGATATTTTAGATGATTTAGAAGTTACTTTTGTACAAATTACGAATCCTGACAGGTAGTTTTCATTTCTTATTTAATTTAGTATGTTTTGAGTAATAATTTACATTTTTCTATTGAATTTAACTTAATACGACAATTTAAATTAAATAAAACTAAAAATATAGGTCAAAAGATTTCCTAGTCTTGTGTGAGTACTTTGGGGGGAAATAGAAGCATTGCCTATAAACTTTTGTCGTGTGACACAATATCATATTTTCCTCAGCAACTCATCAAATTTTCAACTTATATAAAAGTGTATCGTGATTTGAATCATAATTTCACAAAGTTCATTATTGGTAAGATTTCTCTCTACAACACTGGGAGTCTTGGGTTATAATCCCTCATATGTCACTTTTTTTATATTATTTCCGTTACACTTTTTACTAGTGTAACTGAATAGTGAACTATTTAAGCTAAAATATTGATAAAATTAAACACATGGCTATTTAAAATTAGATTTTTAATAAAAAAACCTTTTAAATCGAATGATAACTAATCTTTTAGTTCAATGAGAAGCTGAGAAGGTATAAATTTTACTATGATATGTTTTTTTTTTTGTGTCTGTTTTTTTCAGCTCTCATCGAACCAATTTCTTTCAACGATAACCAAATCAATATAATTTTTATTTTATAGGTGCATGATATCTTATGATATATTTTTTTTATAAATCTGACCCTTTACCTGCCCACAGGGAAGATTCAAAATTACAACATTTTTACAAAAAATTAACTTATTCAACTTAACTTTTGAAAGTTTTTTAGAAATGCTGAACATTTTTAACTTACCTCAAATTAAAGCTTATGTAATATAATTTTATATGAAAAAAAAAATTATATACCTCTATAATTTGACATATTTTTTTTTAAATCGGACCAGTTCCCTTAATACAGGGGGGTTCAAATCTTTAAAGTGCATATAGAAAGTAGAACTTTTTCAACTTAATTTTTGAAAGTGTTCCGGAAATACTAACACTTTTATATAAATCTTAAATTAAAGCTTATGTAGAATGCTTTAATATTAAAAAAAAAATTTTGGACTTTATTTTGTCTTCACGGTCAAAATGCATGCCAAATGCTATTTTTGTGTGAAAATTCTCAATTTTATTTTTGATATTTTTAACTTTATAATGCTATAACTTAATGAAAAGTGTATAAATCAACATAGTTTTTTTATGAGAAATAATATTAATATCCCTTTTTCATTCGACATACTTTATCTTAATCAGTATATAAATAAGGAAATAGCAGATCATGTAGCTTTTGAAATAATCCACCAATTTTTTAAAATTAAAGACTATCTAATGATTTGCATTGGTACGTTTTTTCAATAGTGATTTTAATCACTGTCATATATCATTATACTTGATCCAACTATGCCACGTCACCACTGTGCCACGACTCCCCTGTGCTGGGTTTTTTTTTATTAATCTTCATAAAATAAAATCTTTATAATTATTATTATTATTTTTTTTTTTTTTGTTATAGATCTTCCGATAAATTAGATTTGGAACAAGCTAAAAAATTAACCAAGTTAAATTCTATAAAAAGTAACTTACTTGCTATTGACTGTGGACTACAAAAGACATTGCATGATCATATAAGCTTTAAAGAACGGCTGGCTAATTTAAGTTCAGAACATATAGCTCAAAATAAATGTTGCAGTTATTCTAGTCAAAAAGATAATCTAGAACAAATTATATCACTACAAAATGCTCTTACCATCAAACAAATTGAATTGGATCAATTATCAACTGATAAAAAAACCATGGCTATAAGGATAGAAAGTTTAGAAGTAACATATCATCAGTTGTATTTGTTTTAGATAAATATTTAACATTCTCCTTTATAAGCTACTGCTTATATTAAAGAAGATAGGAAAATCAATACAGCCTGATATTAAAATTATTAACAGACTTATAGTATGTAGGTCTGAATTATGATTTTAAAAAGTACCTTTTTTTACAAAAAATTAATTATTATGTTATCATCCTAAATTATACCATAGTTTACTTTTATACCTTTTCTTATAAAAGTACTAATTTTATAATTATATTTTTTTGGGTTAAAAATCAAGTATTTTAGCTTCGATGCGAAGCTGAGAAGGTATTAATTTTACTATGATGTGTTTTTTTTTTTTTATGTCTGTTGCCACTTTTTCTCAGCTCATAATATATACAGAGTGTTCAGTAAGTCAGGAAACGGGTTTCTATTGTTCTCATTGTTACAAACAATGAGAACAATAGAAACCCGTTTCTTGACTTACTGAACACTCTGTATATTATATTTTAAAATCAAAGAACTACTAATTAGGATATAATCAAAGAAATAAGAGTTGATGTTGCTTTTGGAATAATCCGTTTTTTATTATTAATCAAGTATTACTTTAGAAGAACTTCATAATTATAATTTATTAATTATAGACTGCCTAAATTAACTGTTGTGGTGTTTAGTGTAAATTGACTCATTTCAAAATTGAGTGGTCTAAACTATTAATAACTCTTAAAAATAGGTACTATCATTTTATTTGTTGTTTACTATGTTAAAAATATTTTATATTTTCATTGAAACCAAAAATGACAATTGAAACTATAATTTTTAGCTTTTANATTTCTCTAAATGAAACACTATCTACAGATTTGCATCACAGCGTTTCTTATGATAGTGATTTTAATCACTGTGAGATATCATTATACTTGATCCAACTATGCCACGTCACCACTGTACCTCGACCCCACTGTGCTACCGTTTTTTATTATTAATCAAGTATTACTTTAGAAGAACTTCATAATTATAATTTATTAATTATAGACTGCCTAAATTAACTGTTGTGGTGTTTAGTGTAAATTGACTCATTTCAAAATTGAGTGGTCTAAACTATTAATAACTCTTAAAAATAGGTACTATCATTTTATTTGTTGTTTACTATGTTAAAAATATTTTATATTTTCATTGAAACCAAAAATGACAATTGAAACTATAATTTTTAGCTTTTAAACTAATCTTTAAATCCTGAGCCTATTTCTAAATAAATTATGCAATATTATTTATTTCATTGATAGTTGGGCAATATTTATGATCTTTATAATTTTGAAAATTCATACGTCAAGAAATATTGTTTTTCAAAAAATGTTCAATGGCTGCAATATTATTTCCCCCTTCCCCTTAAAAAATATTTTAAAATGAAATACTCATAATTTTTTTAAAATTATTGTGGAACCTTCCATAAATTATATTTTATTATGTTCTTGATATGCTAATTTAGACTACTAAAATCTGAATTTTAATAAGAACATTTTCTTTTTATACTTTACAGGCTCGTTTGAAAAAAGAAACAAGTTTACTCATTAATGTTAATGATACTGATGATGGTATATCTTTTGAACTTATTATATATCCTTGTAGTTAATATAACTTAACTAATTTATATTCCTTTTACTTTTTATTTAGCTAAAGCAAAAATTCCTCAATTTATGTTAGAAAATGCTTTTGATACGGGTGTAGCAAGAAAAGTAAAACGTGCCTTTACTAGTTTGGATTCCATTGGCCTCAGGACAGGCATGTATCTTCGACGATACCCATTATTGAGGACACTATTATTTATATATGTGGTAAGATTTAAAGTTTTATATAATAACTGTTTTTTATAATAAAATATTATTTTGATTGATTTATAGGTGACTCTTCATTTATGGGTTATGTTAATACTATTTTCATACACACCAGAAACTAATTAAGCTTAATATATTTATGCTAATAATTAGTAAAAACCAATTTTATGTTAATATTAAAAAAAATACTCATTGATTTTGTTATTAAGAATTAATTTTTATTATGCATTATGTTAAATATTTTTTTACAATTATTTAGAATAAATCAAGGAACAGTTATAAGTTTTATACTCTACAATTTATTTTTATAATATTTGTTTTTAAATACTTTTTACAAATCATCAGTGAATAAATACATATTTTTATAATAATGAAATTAAGCATATCATTTCACACTTCTAAAAAAATACAATAAAAAAATTAAAGCATTATATTTTATTAACATTTAAATTTTAAAAAATCATAATATTAACATATTAAAGCTTTATAACTAACAATTTTCCATATTTTTATAGGATAATTGAGGTAGATTTCGCAATACTAATACGGTTAAATAAAGTTATAAGTATATAGCTTAATAAAGAGTTATTATACTTATGACAGAATTATATATTTCTTAATGAAACAGTGATATGATTTAGTTGAGAAGTTTTTTTGATTGTATATGGTAAGATCCAAGCAATCTTAATAGATATAAAATAGTGTGGTGTTAATCTTTAAGAATATGATTCGATTGTCTATTAATATAAATATATTTAATTTTGGAATATTTATATAAATAATTAAACTATAATAATAATAATAACAAAATTTACTATCAAGTAAAATAAATATATCATGTAATTACACAATGGTTTTATATTTGGTAATTCATTATTATAAAACTATAAAAGTGGCAATTTAATCTTTGAGAAATTCTGATTCAATCATTTTCCCCTAATCTAAGTACATATTCCTAATAATTAAACTATCTCTAATACCCCCCTATCACATTCTTGGCGATTCAATCATAACACACTGTAGTTATTAAAAATAAAAATATTTATTAAAAACAAAATTACATTTATTAGTAAAATTAAACTAATTTAGTTAATTATTTTTAAGCTAAATATATTTTAGGTTATAATACATAATAAAATTTTCTATTAAAAAGTTTTCAATGTAAATAAATTAATACTACAGATTTCTTTTTAAAAAAAACCAGCATTAATTAAAAAAGGTAATCAATAAATATTTAAATAATAATTGCATTACATATGGCCTATAATAAAAAACATAAAAAATAATAATTAAAAATATTAACTTCGTTTTTAAATTTAGACAATATTATTGCAATTATTCTTTGGAGTTTCTCATTCACAACCGTTTATAGTTATAATTAAAATAAAATATTTTTCTATAATAAATGCTCATTGGTATATTTTTTTTTTTCGGTTTAGTTATATTCTCTCGTTTATACTTAATTATTTTTTCTCATATATTTGATATTGAATTTTATTTGTTCGATGTTATACAACTGGTATAGTTTGTGTAAACGCCATAAGCGTAAACAAATCAAATAATCAATTATCAATAGTAATAATAATAGTACCTAAAAAAGGTTATTTTATAAATAACAAGTGTTAAATGATGTTATTTCTTCGTGTATGAATATATGTTTAATCGCTTTCAAGTTCATTAGGTGAATTCTTTTGTTTGGTACGAAGCATCAAAACTCTTTTATGAAGTTCATCAAGTTTATGTTGTAGAATTTTATTATGATGAGAAAGTGTCATTGTTTGCATAGTAATTAGCAACAGTGCTTGTCGTTTGCGCATCACATTCAAGTGATCTTCTGTTACAGTCTCGTTTGTTAGATTGCAACTTAATAGTTTCTGCATTTCCAACTGTAAATAAAAAAAAACTTTTCAAATAAGTAAATTCATTTAAATTTGTGCCCTTGGGTAGATAAGACAAGCATAGAATTTCAACCATACCTAAATGGTCCAAATTTCTAAGAAAATAAAAATGACCTGAAGGCACTTATATATTTTTTAAAATAAAATTATTGATCAAATTTTTTATTCTAAAATATTTAATTAATGTAAATTAAATGTATTGCAAAACACATAAAATGCCTATAAAATAATTTAGTACTAGGAAAATAAATATTCGATTTTATCATACAGTCTTGTGTTTGACAACAACAAAAAGGGGTGTAGAGGTTTTGGTGGAGACCCCTTCATGGATCTAAAAATTATATATTTTTTCAGCACCTTAAGATATTTTGGTCAAATAATGCCTATAATCGTATTTATAATAAACATGTAATTCAGAAAATTACATGTACTCTTACGAAAGTAGAATATTTTACTCTAAAGGAATCAATTAAATTAAATTATTTTTCGTACATAATTCACTATGTGCAAAATAAATAATAAATATTAAAAATGTAATTACCTTGTCAATTGCAGCTTTACATGAATTTAATGCTCTATTGTTCAATTTTAATCGATTGTTTCTTTGGATCCACGATGTTGTTAAAGATGAGTGGGTCTGAGAATCAAAGACTAAAAAAAATATTTATTATTTATTAATAATTCAAAAATAAAATTTTAAATATTATGAAATAATTTAAGTTCTAAAATAGTTAGTCAATAATTAAAGATTAAATTTCTGATATTGTATATATATTTAAATATGCTATCAAATGTATATACAATTGGGTTTAACCTTTTTATTGATGGGTACAATTTTTTTAAATCTTCTTTTTAATGCCGATTTTTAATAATTCTTACACAAATGCAACTTTATATTAATATTAATGACGCTAAAAATGAAATTTGTGAGACCAACATTTTTATAAATATTTTTATTAGAATAATTTTGGTAAAACAATTATTTTGTATATCTCATTAAAATTAACTAAATACATTCCGATATTATTGCATAAAAGTTGCATGTTAAGTAATATTTTTATATATTTTTTAATTTTGTTCCAAGTTACAAAATTTAACAAATACATTTTTGAAACTTTTTTTGTTAGCAACTTTTTTTACGTGTAAATTCTGATCAAATATTATAAAAAATTTATATCCATCATATTTCTTTTATCTACACTTTTTGGTAGGATCATAATATAATTGTGATTGGGTTTTGTTGTTTTAGCTTCGATGACAATCTGAGGTGTTCATTTTACTATGATGTGTTTATTTTATTATTATTTTTTTTTTGTATCACCACTCTTTTTCAACTTTCTAAGAACCGATTATCTCTCGCGATATGTCAAAAGATCAGAAATCATAGGTAGTTGAAGACATTACCTTTAACAAATGAAAAAATTCCTCGTTCCCGTAAATGGAAAATCTTCAAAAAAATTATAATTTTTAAAATCAATAAATTTTAACATTTTTAACACTTTTATTATTTAAAAATGATTGAATCAAAATAATTTTGTTTTGAATACTTCAAGTATTTTCCTATTATGAGGTGTATTTTTTGAAAATCTGATCTCTATCTGCCCATAGAGGAAGATTGAAAATAACCCAACTCAACCCAAACTATTGCATAAAAATTTAATAATTTCAACTTGTCTTTTGAAAATGCTCCCAGCTTCAAACATATGTTAAATTAAAGATTATGATATCCTGTTAGTTAAAAATAATTGTTCTGACACCTTATCTTCTACGTAATTAAAACACTTGCTATTTTTGTAAAAATGCATAGATCAATTGTTTTTTTTATTAGTACTTTAATCATATCTCTTTTATCCAACAATTTTTTTTTTAAGTCTGACCTTTTATCTGCCTACAGGAAAGCAAATCTTGAAACATATGTAAAAAAGGTAGAGTTGTTCCAACTTTTAAAATGTTCTTGATAAAATACTTTGATTTTTCACACATATTAAAGGTAATGTTATAAAGTTAGAAAAAAAAATTTTTCCTGATATCTTATCTTTTATGTGCGAATGGCCTCCGAAGTTAAACAAATAATGTTAATTTTTGAATAGAAAATAACCATTTATCGCGTAGTTATAATTTTTTACTTCAATTATAAATACCTTTATTTAAGGTCAATTAGTATAGTCATATAGAATAGTGAGGTTAATACACCTATTTAAACTCTCGTTTTACGAGAAATTAAATAAGATTCTTAGTTTTATATATTTTCATGAAAGATTTTTGACATTTTTTTTTATAAATCTATACATTTAAATTTTGATACATGTCTGTCATAGAGATAACAAAATATACAACTATTTTATAATTTTTCATAACTTCTCGATAAAAAATACAATATTTAATATTGAATATCAATTTCATACTAAATTTATTTAATTTTAAAGAATAAAATTTTCTTGGAACGCATATAAGAGTCTTACCCTACATATTAAATAATGTGAAAATATGAGTGTCTGGGGAGGTGCAGACCCCTGGCCTCTTGAATCTGCGCAATGGGTCAAGTTTGCTTTTTTTTAGTTTATAAATTTCAATCCTACTTTCATAAGAAACATTACTCCTTTATTCATATTAATTTTATTCTTATTTCTTTTTTGCTTGTTAAGTTAGTAAATTACATAATTTTCATTAGCCACTAAATAAACAAAAGGGACGACTGTTCATCCTAAAAAGGTGCTCCTGCTTTTAAGACAGTTTATTTTGAGAAAATAACAATTTTCTTTACTTAGACTGTAAGACCTATCACTGTGACAAATTTCGTGTTTCTATAATGGAAACATCTCATCAGTAATACAAATGAAAATTTAGAAATTTTCCTATTTTCAAATAGCTTAAGAATAAAAGTTACATTTTTTACAGTGTTAATAAATATATTCGGATTTTTAAGATGAACGACTTCTAAAATAGTAAATATTTCCTTTATATATTGTTATATACATCTATATGCACAAGAATGAGTTATTGAAATAATTATCACCGACCTTGACTTTTTTATTTTTCTGCGTTTATCTGTTAGCACGTGTCAGACTTTCATTATATGCATACATTTGCATAAATGCAAGTACAAACAAAATACGATATTATAATCTAATATATTGTATATTTAATAAATCCCTAACAAATGCAAGCCAGAGATTAATTCTTGTTATTGTCATTTTCTTAAGAATAACATTAATTGTTTTAAAGAAATTTAAGTTGAGGCAATGTTTTATTAAGTACGAATAGTTCATTCTCAATACATTTATTGTAAATTTCAAGGGATTTAAGGTCGTTACCTCATTTTTTACACTCTCACAACATTTTAAGGGATTAAATACAACATTTTGTTAATTTTTTTATGATTTCATTCAAAATTAATTACCTTTAGTTTTATTTTTTTGCTCGGTTAATTTTGATGACTTTGAGAAAAAAAAATCATAATCCATTATATTTTCTGTGCTTAATAAAGGGTGTGTCAGAATAACTACAGGTTTTAATTTCTTTCCAACTTTATTAAAAATAACAAAAAAAAAAAACATAAATTATATACCAGTCTTCATAAAGACGCTCGAATTAAGTATGTAAAATAACATTTAATTTTAAAATTAATGACCCCCACGACTGAGTCTATAAACGTAAATTTGATCGACAATATTTTGAAGAACAGTTATGAGTGCAACTTTAGATTTATTATGTACACATTTTGAGGTCACATCATCTCACGGAATAACTTGTCCAGCAACATCTAGGACCTGACTCTTATGGATTTTATTTTATATACCCATAATATTAAGTTAAAAGTGGATATGAAAGGACTTAAACATCTGGTGGAACTAAAGGAAACACACACTTGAAAATCGTTGAAGTGAGTCATGAAATTTGTGAGCGTGTTTTTCAAAATTTTATCAGGCGAACTGACGCTTCTAGACACAATCGCTGGGAATAAAAATTCAATATAATTTTTCAAAATTAATTCGGAAGTCTTTATAAAAACAGTGGTTATAATTAATATTTTTTAAAATTATTTTAAATAAAGTTAGAAAGAATTTTAAACCTGCAGCCATTTCTAATAAACCGTAACAATTGCGTATTTATAGTCACTCGCACTCTTACTGATATATTCAATTTATTATAAAGGAAAAGTCACAAATATTTTGCAAATTACGATCAGTCACTTTGTTTGGAAGTCAATAAAACAAACTAAATCATAAATAATTATCATACACAAAATCTTTTTTTTAAATTACCATCACTCAAATCTAAAGATCTATTAAAAAACGGTTAAATTTGACGTTTAAAAATTCTTTTTTTAATATCATTGAATTGTAGTAGGAAAGTTAAAAAAAATTTTAGTTCAGTTTTACTAATGAATTAATTATTAAATTAACTCAAAAAATTAGATTTTATCGAAAGCACATAAACAAAATTCCAAAAAAGTGTCAGAATTTCTTGTATAATCCACTTACATATTATATTGCACTCAATCTATACATAACAAAAATACACAAAATTACGTGAAGTATTAACTATTAAAAATACAAGATATGGGATTATTAATCGATATTTTTTAGAAAATAAGTTGTCTTGATAAGAATAATTTACATTACATCATTAAAACCAAGTCAAAAGAATTCAATCTTAATAAAATACACAATAAAGGCAGACCTTGGAAAAAATTGCTTATTTAATAACATACACCAAATGCACGTGTAAAAAAGTAAATATACAGAGTGGGCCCAGCTTGTTTTGACGACTAATAACATTTTGCTCTGAATTTTCTTTTTAATAATTAACACACTCGTGGGCTCTAATAATAAATAGTATTTTTCTAATACGAAAACAGTTTACATTATAGATAATTTTATAATAATAGAAAACTTTATAGATTTCGTAAGGTAAATCCAAAATGAATATTTAAAAATTCGATAAATATGATTTCTATTAAAATAATAAAATACATGACAAATTAAAAGATAAAAATTATTTACAATATTTCTCATCTCCTCTTATGCATAAGTTGTTTAAATAATTTAAAAAGTAATTCACTGAATTAATAATAAAATACTTAGTACTTGTATTAAACTTTTGGCAAATAAAAATTTAGATACTTGTTTAGAGAATTAGGAGTCACTTCTTCATCTTTACTAAGAGCTTATATAATAAAATTAAGTTGGGTAAAAACAGTGAATACTAAACAGTGGCTGATCGAAAATCTTTGAGGGGGTGCAAATATTTTTGAGACGTCAATACATTTTAAGTAGTGTTTTTTTTTTCATGACCAAGGAGACGCACGATACTTTCGTCGTCATGAATCCGCCACTGATGTTAAACATTAAATAGATACTATATTGCATTCACAGATATAGAAAATAAAGCAGATAGCTAACCTATGATGATATATGTCGATAATAGTACTAATTATTATTTTTCTGTTTGATTAGTAATTCTTATTCAAAGCTCAAATGATAATTTTTATGAAAAAAATTGTATACCCACAGCATATATTTTGTGTGTAATAATTACGTTTACTTCCAACCCAACCCAACCAGTGTATAATAACATGAAATAATCACAGAAAAATTCTAACTTTAAAATGATACAGAAATAAATATACTCATCATTAGTAAGAGATT